TTTTTGAATTTTAGTAAACACTAGAGTCGTTGCATCGCGTACTGAAATAATAGCTTCATACCTTGTTCGCTTATTATTTAATATTTTACGCGTTTAACAGATACTTTCTCCTAATTCTCGTTGCGTATTTTATTAAAATTTTCTTATATTCTAGAATCGAAAAAGATTCGAATTCGCGTTTTTTTTTTTGATTCTTTCAATTTTTCAATTGCATTACGCATTATTGCAATAATTTCTATCGTTACATTTAATTCTAATTGTTTAGCAGCTTTTCTGCTGCTATCGACCCTACATTTTACTGACACTTGTCGAACCGACCCTACATTTTACTGACACTTGTGCAATCGACCCTAAATTTTTTTTTTTTTACGTGGAGGTAGGCCGACTCTATGTGATAAACAATTGGCAACCAAACGGTGGCTCGCTAAAGCGATATATTATGAAATTAAATTAATCACTCAATAAGTTTTAACGTTAGATTGTTTCCTCGATATGGTTTTCACTCGTGTTCTACGAAAGTTTAGTTCAATAATAATATTGAAAGTAATATAAATTCGCGATTTCCTCCTCACTAAATAAAACGGAAATAAATCGCGTTTCGAAATACTTTTCGCGTCGTTCATTCAACAGTAACTTACACTTTGTGAGTCTGTGAGTCTTGGAAAATTAACGCTGGAAGACTGGAATGATTGGCTGATGGATGACGATCTGAGAGGAAAGAAGGATGACAATCTGAGAGGAAGGAAGGAAGAACGAAATGCAACCAAATCCACGTTGCAGAGCTCAGCTGTTTAATCTGCGAACGGTGAGTTACCAAAATGGGTTTTTTTCTGGCAATATGGAAGTGTAGTTAGTTGTATTGTCCATTGCCAGCTCAAATATGAGCTGCTCCTAATTAAACTGTCTCGCTAGATGAAAGATGAATTAGGTCAGTGAAGATGAATGATGACCATCTAAGTCGAAAATTTTGGTACAAACAATATTAAGTTTGTCCTGAAAAATAGAAACAATACATTCATCCATTTTATCAGTAGAAATATCGAAATACAGTTTATTTCGTCGTCACAAAATTGATACATAATTTATCCACTATTTTTCGCGGGAGATCCACTATTTTTCGAGGAAGATCCATCATTTTTTACGGGAATCGATTATTTTTCGCGGGAAACTTCCATAATTCCGTAAGGTCAGCCGGGAAGTTACCTTTTCGCGGTAAATTGTCATCTTTCCGCGGGAAGTTTCCATTATTTTATTAGAATATTACAATACCGTATAATTTATTAATTTTCACAATTTTTATTATAAATTTATAGTTCCAAGAATTTATTGTAACAGTACAAATAATAATTTATACGTTTCTACAACTTTGTTCAATAGAAAACTACGTTTCCATGTTCTCATTACTTACTCCTGATTAAATTAATTTCGTAAGGATTAAAAATTAGACTGACCCATGGTCATCGATTGAAAGTAACCTTAGCGAAGGTATTTATTATGTTAAATAATGTTTTATACGCGTCAGAAGTTTGTTTAACATTTATTTGTTATAATACCATGAAATAATTTCTGTCTAAAATTTTCTCTAATTTATGTCTTCGAATTTAGTATGATTGTTTACTTCTTTCTTACTCGAATTCCGCATTGAAGGAGTTACAGTATTTCCTTCTTTCTTTCTCTACTCAGTTGACCTGAATGTTTGGAATTGTATCGTGTCTCTTTAAAATTAATAAACAATTACACACTCTCCATCTTACTACTTATTCCCTTTTTTCAAATTTAGTATTACCGTTTCCTTCTTTCTCTACAAAATTTTTTCAAATTTTTACTCACAAGTTCCAATCCATTTTTTATATTATTCCGGATACTGTTCCATAAAATGTCACAGTACCGTGCACCGCAAGTCATACGCTCAGTAGAACTGAAATACCGGGAGCACTATTTTATGTACTCAGAGTAAAACTATCGCGAGTTGCTGTCGAGAGTATCTCTCGCGTCTGAAAGTGACTGTTTCAGAGCATCGCTCAACTCTCTGAGATTGACGACTCGAATAAACAGTTGCTTTGCAAACACGAAGCAGTTTCGTATTCTTGACAGAACTCTCGTGCGAGTGAAAAAAGTCAGGAAAAAAAATTAGTGGAGAAATGAAATCACCGGATACACAGTTAAGGAATGCAAATTCGGTTAGAGTCTTACTTTTCTATTGTATCCCTGTCATGACGATTATTTTATTATATTTACGATAGTTTATTATAATTTTTATCACTTCGAGAATAAATAACTATTGGTTTCTGATTGCTTAGAATATAAGCATTGTCC